ACCATCATCCATTCAAAACATAAAACAAATTTTATTTTTATTTCATTTCCTCACAGAACATGATCCTAATAAATTTTATGCTCCATTATTTTATTGATCATACTGTATATCCTGATACAAACGTCTACATATTGAAAGGTAATTTTTTAAAAATTTCCAGTAATGAGAAGACCAAGTGTTTAAAAATCTCTTCTAGATCGAGTTATTGTTATAATACTTAAAAAATACACAATAAAGCAAATACAAATTTAAATAAACAAAAATAAAATTGTATGCATTTCAATGAGATGAATATAGTAGGGTTTTGTTTTTCCCACTAGTTCATGTATCTTTGAATAAATATTACTTATTGTCAGATGAGCCAGAGTTGAGCACAATTTGATTCCTACTTTTTATTTTAATAGATATAAGCACTGAGAAAACTCAGTCACATAAATAAGTAGAAGGTATTTTTAAAATATCAGGGTCACCCAATTATTTGAATTTCTTTCAAGTTATATGCCAAAACTCACAGAGATCTACCACCAAAAATTATTTTTAATAATCTCTTAGCCAACAACTATATTAGGTCTTCATGTTATCTAATGCAAAGGCCTGAAACCTCCTGACGGTGCACTCACTGGTGACCTAGCGCAACTGCCCCTTTACTGTGCAGGGTTTACACACCTGCCAGTCCGCACAGTCAGACGCAGAAGGAGTGAGCTCTGGCCTTTCTCTCCTGCCGTGGGAGAAAGGTTAATGCGGAGTCCCGCGGATCTGGAGGACTGTCTTCTACCTGGGAAACACCTCTCCACCCAAGAGCCTCTCTCCTTCTTCCCTCCAAGACTGCTAATGAAAATGCTTCCTACTCTGCCTCACCACCCTTTAAATTGATCTTCCGTGGACTAATACCTCTGCAACAATTTGATCAGTGCACTTCCCTACTTCAAATCCTTGTCACCACTTCACTCCCACCTCACCAGCTCCATGCACAGCCCCCACCCCCCACCCCCACCCCTTTCCACCCTCATCCCACCCACCTCTGCTGTCGCCCTCCCCCCATGGCCACGCACCAACCACAGCTGACTACCTCTCACTAAGAACCATGCTTACTCCCAATGCTGCTGTCACTGCCTGACATACTCTGCACCTTCCTCTCTACTTGCTGCAAATTTCTACTCATTCTTCAGGTATCAGTTTAAATGCCATCTCTTGCAAGAAACCCCCTCTCTGGCCCTCCTCTGCCAGTAGATTAGGTGGACCTGGGTGCTCCTATACCACTCTTATCACAATTCTGTTGTATCCTCAGATCCTGGCACAAAGGGGAGTTGAAGATACACCCTATAAAAACGTCAAAATATTTTTTAATTGTTGATATTCCAAGCTTAATACCCCAATCCTACTTCACTTTCTTAAGCATGCTATATAAAAATACTTTATATTCCAGACATCACAGTTTCTTATATTTTCTAAATCAATCCTTGATTACATTTGCATTTCATAAATCAAAAGCCAGCACAGTAACTCAAACAGAGCTTTCTCTAACTTTTCACAACCTCCACCGCTATCACCCTGGTCGGGCCACCATCACCTTTCTCTGGATTACCGCAATTCGCCTCCTCACGGTCTCCCCGCCTCCATCGCGTGCTCCCATCGCAGCAGTCTTTTTAACTTGTGACTCTTCTGCTCTGAACCCTGCAACAGCACCCTACTTCATTCAGAGCAAAAGCCAAGGATGTTACTGAGGCCTAAGACCTTATCTGATTTCCTCCTATTTTCCTAATTCCATCTCCTACAAAATTCCACCACACCCAGCCTGACCCATCATGGCATTCTTGCTGTTCTTGAACATGCCAGCCCAGGAGTGCACAGGGCCTTTGCATTCACTGTTTACTCTGCTTGGACAGTTTCCGCAGACACCTTCATGACCTCCCTTACCAACCTCAAGTCTCTGCTCACAAGTCACCTTCTAAATAAAGCCTACACTGATCACACCGTAGACAACTATTAATACAACAGTCCCTAGAGTCTGCTCCTGATGGTCTGACCCTGTTTGGCTTTTTACCCAAGCACTTGCTATCCTGACATATTGCGTCATTTACTTACTAGCTCTCCTTACAAGGAGCTCTAAAAAGGGAGTGATTCTTGTCTGTTTTGCTCATTGATATATCCCAAACACCTAGAGGAGTGCCTGGTAAATAGTGGGTACTCAATAATTACTTGTTAAATGATACTTTCTTCAAGAAATGTGAACTACCTTTTTAGTCGAACAAGGAATTAAATTTCACATTAATTCTTTGGATTAAAAAAATGGTGATTTTTTTTTTTT